TTCTTTGAAAATTAATAAAAAATAATAGTAATGTGGTGTAATTTCCACTATAATTAAGGTTGTGAATTACAATGAATAAGACCCTCTATTTATAGGGTAATAAACTCGAAGTTAAAATGAAATAAACTCTGAATAATATTAAATTGTCAAAACAAATCTTATCTAATCTAATTAGAATTAAACTCAATTTAAAACTTCTATTTAAACTATAACTCTATATTTTTATTCTTTTCTTATCTCCATCACGAAGGGAATTTATAATTTAGATGGGTTATATTATTGTGGAACTTCAGTTGCAGTTCATTGTTTAGATTTCACCATTTCCGCTTATTTGAAATATGTTCTGAAATCCGGCGATAAGATTTTTATTATTGATAGTTTGAGGGATATTAGACTTGTAGTTGTTGCTACCCTAGTGACTAGCATTTTGTTGCAAATGGAAGTGTGTAGACATGGTTTTAAATAGAATTTTGACACCTCAACTCTACAAATATTTCCACTACAAGATTTGGACTATTTGCTCTTCGCCCTCAGAGAGCTGTGGGAGGCCAAGACTCTTACTGATTATATGAAATTGGATCATGGATACACAACCAAAAGTCCTGGTATCATCAATCTATTTGAGATTATGAGAGAGTTCATCCTTGAGCAGCAACAGACCTTTAGTCAGTTTGTTAATGAGGCTTCCCCGCATTTACCTAGTGGTATGGCAGCATTGAATCCTAAGTTAAACATCCAGCTTGAGGACAAAGTGAATTTCGGGGGACAAGTAATGATAGATACCTTTTCAAACTATTTAAGTCAAGAGCACAGGAGGCAGCAGGGGTAAGAAGGAAAATATAAGCTAGATGGTAACAACAAATCACATGGTCTATTATTACAACAATTCACAAGCTGGATATACAGGTAGTTAGAGCACAGTATGGGATGAACAGTATATAAACAAGGTAAAAGAAAAATAAGAGGGGGAAGAAATTACAGTTAAACCTCGATAAAGTAATGTTCGATAAAGTAATAACCTCGATTATATAATAATTTCTTTCGATCCCAACTTGGGCCAATGGACTAAAGTAATAACCTCGCTAAATGCATTAAGTAATAAAAAAAATTTGAATCCTTAAGGGCCCAATAAAAATATAAAGTAATAATTACTGGATTTCATTGAGAAAAAAAAATATATACATATATAGACCAAAATCTTTCAATCAATCAACAATACCCGTACAATAATAATTCCTTTTGAAAATATGCATCTATAGTTGATTGTTTTTTCTTCCCACTTAAACCAAAATGAACCCCATCCTTAACTTTTTGTAGAGCATACACAACTTCCGAAATATTTTGCTCGTGTTGTAGCAAGTAGTTGTTTAAGGTGACTATTGTTTGATATGCCTCTTTTGACGACACATTTGGGACAACGCTACTATCATCTCATTCAGGATCATTCTCATCATCATTACTGTTAATTACTGATTAAATAATTTCTTCGTCTGTAGGTGATTTCATAACTGCATCATTCTCGCTAGGATAGTTCAAAAGATGTTCAACATCCATCACATTTCTATAGTGTAAATTAGAGATGACATCATTTAATGCTTGGATACCTTCATCTAATTCACCAACTTCTAGTTCGGAAACATTGTTTTCTTCTGACCGAATCTTGCAATGCCGAAAACAATTTGCAATTGTTGTTGTCTTCACATCAAAATTCCAAGCCATGTTAGCAAAATTAATAGCATTCAAAATATTAATTTTTTCAGGATTTGGTGCTTCAACCTCAAGGTCTTGTAAGATGCTAGAATAAAAACGACAACGATAATGAGCTTTGAATGCTCGAATAATCCCAACATCACATGGTTGAATCTTAGACGTTGTGTTAGGAGGTAAGAAAAATAACTCAAACATTTCTCAAACATTCAACTATCTTTGGATGAGCTGGGCAATTGTCTACTATTAAGAGAACATTCCTGCCATTCATTCTCTTATCAAACCAACCAACAAAATCTTGAAAAAGCAAGCCAGTCATTCAAGCTTTCTTGTTGGATCGATACTTGCAATTAAGATTGTTCATGTTCACATTTTTAAAGCATCTAGGATTTGCATACTTACCAATAACCCAAAGTGGTACTTTGTCAGATCCATCATCATTGCAACAAACAACAACAGTAATTCTCTCCTTATCTTTTTTGCGTCCTTCGAGCTGCTTGATAGTAAGTGAATGATCAGCTTCCAATCGGTAAAATAATCCAGTTTCATCCGTATTGTAAATATCCTTCAACTGAAACTGGTCTAGTTTTGATCGTATTCCAGGTAAAGCATTTTCAATGTTCTCCATGATAACTGAACCACTTTCACCAAAACGTCGGTAAGTTTTGATTCCATATCTTGCCTTGAAACGTTCTAACTATCCACTAGAAAAGTTGAATTCTGGATTAGTTTCACCATACATTTTTTGCAAAATCTCTTTTGCTTTTCCTTGGATAATTTCTCCAGACATGTTCACTTTATCTTGCCTTTGAAGAAATCACTCATACAAAAGTTTCTCTAAATCAGGGTATTTTGCCGATTTGTGCCTTTTAACATGCTATTTTTTTTATCTCATTTGACAAATATTCCGACACCCTTTGAGAATGTTCAATATTGTTGATTGACTAACAGTCAAATCAAACTTTTGTTGCACCCATGCTTGCATATTTTTTGGCTAATAGTTGGATTCTCTTTCTTATGCTCACATATTGCACTCCTTATTTTATCTGTTAAAGTTGATTTTTTTTACTCCTTTCAAATGATGAGAAGACATTGGAGGGGAAACAAAATATTGTATGTGCTTGGAATATATCTTCCAAACATCTAGTTTTTATAGGTAAAGACTAAATATTTTCATTTGCTATATACGTGAACTTAGTTTTTAGAGACATTAAATTTCACTAAAACTTTTGAGCTTCCCTAGATTTAAATAATACTTTGATTAGTGTCTTTTGATTTTTCTTACCACATACAATGTACATATTTTATATTGAAAAGCTCTCTCTAAAATAATAAATATTTATTTATCGATAAATGAATAATTTATTCATTTATCGATAAATAAATAATCTCGCTAAATGAATATTTTTTTCCAGTTCCGAGGATATTACTTTATTGAGGTTTAACTGTAGATAGTTCATTAGGAGAGCAATAGACCTCTCGAATCATTTTCATTCCTATCATTTACAATTCAATAAAGTACGATAGTGTTAGGGAGTTATTCTGTAATTTGCATTCCATATTAAAAAAAAAGAAAAAAAAGGGAGAACTTCCATTAGAGACATCAATTCAACTATTGCCGAGTTTATCTTCTATTTTCATCTTATTTCCTTCCTTGGTATGTTTGATTCTATGTATTGGCTGGAATTATCGAGAGGATCTTATCATTTTGCCAATCAAGTCTCGTCTAATGAGGACCATCGCTCAATATCTAGACTAGCGACTTACTCTAGCTCAACACAAGGACCTAATATCTTATTTGTATCACGGGATGCGTATGCTGAGTTCTTAGCTCAAAAATAGCCTGCTTCCACTTCTATGGCCACACTCACTCAGTCAAGTACTACAACTTCTCACTATTTATTGCTATCCTCTCACAATCCATTGATTATTGATTCCGGAATAATTGAACACATGACTGGCTTGTCCACTTCTCTTCTTAATTATCATCCTATTACTTTTTCCACGTGTCACTCTTCCTAGCGGTTTCCAAACAAGTGTTACAGGCTCGAGCAATGTCCATTCTACTCCTAATATTGATTTGTCGACTATTCTTCATGTTCCTGACTTTTTCTTTAGTTTATTTTCTATTAGAAAAATCACATCTCTTCAATGTTCTATAGCATTTTATATTTCCTTGTGTGTTTTTAGAATCTCAAGATGGAGAGGATGATTTGTATGGAGTATGAAATTAGCAGTGTATATTATTTGGATCTTTCATCAATTTTTCCTCGAGATAATATAGAAAACCACCTTATCTACCATATAATCTACACATGTCAACTAACCATAACAAATATATATATAATAAATTAAAAAAAAAATCTCCCCATACACGTGGCAGCAACTCCATTTTTCATTCAAGGTTTTAATTCAATTGAAAAACGAGTTTTAAACAACTTCTTCAAACTGTATTATCTTGGTGCTCACTTATTCGAATCAATTTTTCTTGTACCTAAAATAGATGATTAAATACGAACTATCCAACGAGCCCCATATTGATATACCTATTTTTGCCCTATTGAAATCAAAATGTTTGAGCCAAATAAATTTGTATTAATACGTATATCACTTTGGTTACCCCACTTTTCAAAGTTAAATACATAGTATATAAAATAATTAATTTTAGTATGCGAAAATTTATGGGACTTTACAACGACATCTGACATTTTCACTATTGAGCAAATTAGAGAAGCAGCAACAGTACTCAAGGTTTGAGATCCCTCGCGCTCTATGGAGTGGACTCTATTTTTATCCTTATGCAGAGAAACAGCAATTGTAAACATCTTTTTCTGCAAATTACATGCGTTTGATCATGCTTTTTCAATTGGTTATCATACCTAATTGGCACTCATAACTAGTCTAAACGGCATTAAGTCTTTCAAGCTCGACCAACTTTAATTGATACCATTGCATGTTGTGAACATGTTTTCATACTCGACCAACCTTGATTGATGCCATTAAATGGTACTTCAAGAAGTTATATTTGAATAAATCATTCCTTGGTTCAATTGATCAAGTAAAATCAAGAAATACATTAAATCTGCACTTGAATATCTCCAACCAATGACGAATGCAAGTTTACAGGACCAGTGTCAAAGAATTGTTGCACTTCCCTCCTTGAATGAATGCACATTTAAATCCGGTAAACTTGCATCTTAAGTAGCGAGTCCCTTCTAGCACTAGAAAGGGTCTGAGCGGAGCTAAGAAAGCGAGGGGTTTGCCCGCCATAAAGAGCAAACGATAAAATCATATTAAAAAATGAGTAGAAGACTGATAAGGGTGTGGCGTGATTTATCATACATGCAACCACAAGATCTTGAGGAGAACAACGACGAATAAATTGGTTAGCAGATGGCAAATAGACCATAGCCCTACTTCATAACATCTCATTAAGAAAGATTTGTCTCTCTGAGCTATCACAATTATTATTAGCCAACAGATGTGCTCTTTCATTGTACATGTACCACAGGAAAGAACTTCTTTGTTCACAGAAATCACACCAAAATGTTTCACCACGACTTTAACATTGAATGCACCTTAGCCTTGTCTCGTTTTTCCCAAGGATTGCTCTGAAAGATACCTAGATCACAAACCAAAATCAGTATACATATTAAATGAAATGATAGAATATTTTAACATTTCCATTGTCGAAGTTGAATCAAATAGCATCAAGACCAATGCATTCACTTGAAAATATCTCTACTACTGGATTCGGCATTCATCAGTATAGATACAAATTTGCTTCTTAGGTCTACAAGATTTGGATTCACCTTCCCAACTTTTACTGAAAAATAAAAGTACGAAGTAAGAGGACAAGATGTCCAGTAAATACTAGAAACAAGTGCAGAAAACTACACTACATTACACAAGTTCACTAACAGGTAATTGGGACACCTTGAAACTCTTTATGGTGAAGTCCAATGAAAAGCTCAAAATACAATCCTACCTGACACAAGCTCAAAGTCCATAGCCACCCCCTCAAAAGTAATAGCATTCTTTCCTAGCATTGCCCAATCAATTCCAACTTCCAATAACAACTTGCTCCAGAGTCTCGAGGCCAAATCACAATGCAATTACATAGGATCAATCAATTTGGCATCAATATAACATAAGACACATTAAAAAGAAAGCAAAAGGGTGTATGGTGTCTTCTCTTGGATCATGTCACCGGTCTTTAACTTGCCATGAACCACTAACAGAACAAAAGCATTTTAACTTTAGTGAGGATAAATCAACTTTCAGATGAAATTAAAAGGAAGAGGAGAAATTTGAGAGGAATAAGAATGAATATTATTTGCTTGAAAAGAAGACCAGAAGAATTTAGAACCCAAACCATCGTTATATTTTTACCCTCGCTATCTACCCGAATTTGGAAACCTCTAATTCTTCAAGCAAAAAGAGGAATAACTTGCTGAGGAAAACTAAATTCATTCGTTAAAAGAAAAAATGAGGAAACAGAATCTCTAGCAATAGGAGCATGCTGAAATAGCAGAGAGAAATGAGAAGCGAAATATGATCTCCCCACCAACCTCAAATCTTGTACAAGAAATAATTGTAGAGTAACATGTGAAGTATTTTAATAAAGACAACTGCCTGAAACCGTACCCTTTACTTTATATCCCCCTCCTTTGCTATGCAGCCCATATTTACTCATCAGTAGTTCATCATCCCAAAGGACACTTGTTCCAGCAGGAATCTCAATAAACACTTGGCCTAACAACACTATATTTCTCTGTTTCAAATTCCCAATATCCGAAGTCAAAACCACCTTTAAAAGTTGATCTGAAACTCAAGTCCATGCTACCAAGTGCTCTGTTGTTCCATTATTTTAGAAAGGCACCACTTCTCTCGAAATCTTAAAAAGAGACGTAAGAAATCGAAAATCGCACCAGTTTTAGTCTCCAACTTTGCAACAAAAAAGCCCTTTTTCCAACCTCTTCATGACTTTTGGAAACACCCGATTCCAAAAACCTATAATAATCAAACAAACCCAACACAGTTTTAGATACTTTAACAGCCATCACCCGATTTTACAATTCAACTCAGTTGCTAAAGAAACCACCTTGTTCTCTACCACATTCACTTCAACCAAAGAAGCCACCTTGTTCTCTTCCACATTCACACCAAACCAACTTGTTCGAACAGGAAAAAATCCATATTGAAAAGACTAGCCAATTACGACATAATTAAATTTTTGCGAGAAGAGCTAAAAAAATAAAAATTATGAAAAACAAATCCCAGATTCCGAACAGTCCTAAGCCCCTGAAGAAAACACTAGATCATGCTGACAAGCTTTTTCACAAGTATATTCAGGCCCTCAAATAAAAGATCTAGAAAGCAAAGGAGTTCGCCCCCTCAAATTGCCTTTTTTTCTGCTTAAGGTGCAGTAATCCCACATTTATAGCTTTAAATAATCCTCCATCTCCTCTCCTTGTAATTCTGAAGGTAAGATTGGTACGTGCCCGCCCTTTCTTAATATTCTTTTTCAATCAATACATGAGATAGGGGTCAATGCGAAACTCCCCACCTAGGAACAGGTGGTTTTTCTGGAAATAATGATAATAATGATAATAATAATAATAAATTAATTTTTCACTTATGAGTACCAAAGTTTCTGATACAGATTTCTTCCATAAGAGCTTCTAGGTTTGCTTGTGATTAGAGGGTTTTGTTAAGAATATGCCAGAGTAGCAAAACAACTACAGAGGATGGTGGCTTTTAGTAGTCTATCGTAGCAAAGAATAGGTAGAGGTGGATCTAGACAACAAATTTGTGTCAGTGATCGCAGTTTTCCAACATCATTCTATGCTTCTCAAGTACTTAAAATTTGAGATTCATGCTTCTCAATTATTTAAGTTTTTACAATTCTCAGCATTTTCAAAAAATCTATAAAGATTGTGGCACACATACAGAGAAATTAGTAAATGTAACCAAAGGAATCTCGAACACAAGGCCGTCAGAGTCTCTCAGTTTGATTTGGATTTATTATGAATATCTAAAGGTAAAGACCATTGTATCTTGACATAATGCTAATAACTAAATAATAGGTGTAACCCTAGTAGAACAGGGATATTACAAGTTATACTCCTATATCTTAACTAAATATTTGTCCAATAAGGACATAATGTATCTATTGACAAGCATAAAATGTATGGTTATGTTCCTATTTTTTCTTGCTACATATTTCTTATCATCTTGAGTAGCTTGTGTTGATCCTAAGGTTTTTTAAAATAAATCTCTAGTTTCATACCAGGACAGAAACCAGTGAAAGAATCGGTATCACTTACTTTCCAGTGTAAAAACCTGCAGAATACCAAGCGTTCAAAACCACAGTAAGATCTGTTCCAGACTCAGTACTTTCTGTTAAATGAACTTCTGGCCGCAACTCTTTGTCCTCCCCTGCAATTCATTGGGAAAAATAACATATAAACCAGGACCTCATATTGCAGCATTCCTCATAGACCTTCTGCAGCAAACTTGTGGTGTAGAGGTGTTGGTAAATGAAATGAAAACAACACGTTTCTTTCTTTCCTTATTTTTTGTGAAAACTACATATTAAGTTTCTGAGCTAATAAAATATTTATTTTCAACCAGGAGTGTCCAAATTTCAGTAATAATAAAGATGAGCATATATCATTAAGCTTGTCAAAAATTCATTTTTCAACGTGAAGTTCAAAATCCAGTTCTATTAGCATCACATGTCATGGAGCATCTCTATTCAAAATATGGCATTTAGGGAATAAACTTCGCAGGCTATATTGTAAGATGTAGGTCTGTCTCCATAACAAAAACAGTGATGTATGCTAAACTTATTCTTTTATCAATTCATGTGTGTGATGAATTTGTTCCCTGAAAATCAACCACTTGAACAACCTCGACTATTATCAGACTGCAAGGCTAAACTTACACATAGCCTCCCTTCCCAAATTGGTTCTTGTCCTTCTGTAAACGTGCATGTTTCTCCAAAATTGGTAAGGTGGATTGGAGGTTTGTCAGACTAACAAGGCTACAATAAAACATACCCTTCCCTCACACATGGGTTTCTCTTTTCTTTCTATAAGTATACCCACATTTCTGAAAGGGAACTTGAGAGCTCTGTGGTCTAGGGGCCTGTTACTTCGGTTCAGAAATTTGAATCCTGAGCGCTTAGTCAACACAATCTATTATTTCAGTTTATAAGCCAAAGTGAAAATCCATGAAAGAGTATTATGCTGCGTATAATGGAATATGAGAAAATTCAATATAGGTACTAAAAGCACTTGCTACAATAACAAAGCTTATATCTTTAGGGGTCTCCTTTGAAATCTTACATACTACGAAGATAAGAATATTTTCTTGCTACTTTAAAGTTATCCATATAGCTAAAACCCATAAGTGAGAAAAGAGCATTGGGTGACCTATTCAGGTAAGGTAACAAATAACAGAAAGAGCCACTTGGTGTAGTGAGTAAATATAAATAGATACAGTCTAATCTTCCCCTGATCCTAAAAATGGCACGAGATCAACCCTCTTTTATACATTGCCCTTCACTTGGAAATGATATCATCTGACTTTTGGCACGAGATCAACCCTCTTTTTTACATTACCCTTCACTTGGAAATGATATCATCTGTCTTTTTCTTTATAAAATAATATTATCTGCTTAAAGACACTGTAATGAGGTTTTTTCTAGTTTTGCTATATTGGAGGGGACGCTTAGGTGCATTTACAAAGTCCCTGTGACACTGATTTCGCAATGTCCATCCCACCTATCCTATTCCCCTCGAAACTCTATCACAATCTTAAATATCAAAAAGTAAGTGGGTGGAGGGGTAGGTATGTAAGAAAGAGGATAGATATTAATAGTATCATAACAAATCAAGTTGTCTATACTAGAACTTAAATCATGGCCTGCACAATTATAAATGAGCCTAGTAGCTCCTTTCAATTTATAGTTTATTAAAAACGGTTCTCAATGGAAACTACCAATGGTAATTATGGATTCAAGAATGAGGAACTTTGTTTTTGCCATTCCCCCAGTTTTGCACTAAGCCAGCGTTCTCAAAACATAACATACTACATTTAATCGAGTATCTCCAGCACAAGCTACATGGAACATCGGTCACTACACTCCTATTCCAAGATTTTGAAGGTCCCCTATGCCAAAGCCATATAATGATAATTATTGGCTCACATATAGAGAGCAGGAAAGTAGTCTTACCTCCATTTACAGATGCATCAGCCTTCTGGGAAGTTTCCTTCATAAGAGAAGAAAGCGCTCTTTCTGCAGCAACCATTGCTGTTTTGACAAAACCTTGATCTTCCTGAGATGCTAAATTCCCATTACAACCAATTCTAGAAGTATCACAACTTTTATCAACACAAGCACCATCTGAACAATGAGCTGGTAACAAAGGGCAGCAGGCCAGCAAACTTTGGCAGCCATATGGACAGTAACAGGTACCTGTTTGGTAAGAAGATTGGGCAATTGAACCTTGATTGTATTCAGAAGTTAATGTACTAGAGACAGGATGCTCATAGCTCCAATTGCTGAATTGGTTAAGTTGCTGGAGAATATTCTGCCTCTGACTCTCAAGCTCATAATATTTGTTCAGTAACTGGTTGTACTCTTCTGGACTTTGTGAGTACCAAGTGGCCTCATCTTGAAGATTTTGCGCATTGGACGAACTTATATGTTTCTTTGGAGAACCTGACTCCATCATAGAATTTTCTTTCTCAGATGTATGGTTACCATTTTGCACTATATGTTTTTCAGGAGAAACTAGCTCCACAGAAGGATATTCCTCGATTGGTGAAAGTTTACCAGTCTCACCAATTTCTGCAGTTGCATTTAATGCAGTGTTATTGCCATCAGCTGCGTCCACATGTCTTCGCCAATGCAAAAGAAATCAAAAGATGAATCTCATACATCATATAGCTTTTAAATTAGAATCTAACGATTTATGTAAAAAATAATAATAAATAAATAAATATTAAAACTCCTCAAGCTAGTGCCAGATTTTGCTGGCTTTCACATGAAAAGAGAAGCAGCATAAGAGTAGTAAAAGAAATTATATTAAACGGCCATTATTATGGGAATGAAATATACTTAAAAAATACCATCGGGAGTGTTGCTGCACGGGGATAATAAGCTGGTTTAAAGTCTCGAAGAATTTTCAAAAGATCCAATCATTCAAATGAGACATACCTCTGGTTAGGGTCCTAAAAAGAAACAGATTTCTGACAAAATCACTTCTAACATTGAATTTATACCTCAAACGTCTTCAAATATTCCATCTATTTCTTAATCTCTGAGCATAAAATATAAATAGTGTCACTCTTTGCTTCTTATCCTTCTAGACAAAGGAAGAAAGTACATCACTTTCAAGCCTTACGTAAAAAAATATCGAGGTGATCAACAGTGCATAAAACAGTACTAAGATAATAATTTCTAGTTGAATCTTGGTTTGTACTCTATAAAAACCAGTACTTCCTGACTCCCATTTTTCGTTGAATCAGGGCTTCAACCTTAAGCACCACATCTTTGCAAAAGAAAAAATTTGTGTGCTTGTTCCTGACATGGGTAAAAACAACATCATCCCACCTTAATCAACACGTACTCAAGAGCCATCCTAAGTCCTCAGAAACCTATAAACCCAATTTGAAGACCAGCTAAGAGACATGTACTGATGGAGGGCTCTAGGAATTGTCCATCCTTCAGACCATTGTGAATAAACTAGAATTCTAGATCAACTGTTCGACATGAAGCGCAGAGATAACTACATTCAGTCAACAAGGTAAGGGAAAAAGATTATTGCAAGCAGAGTGCACCTTATCTCAGATGATGCCTTGGGCAGTATATAAGTCCTTTTCCCAGAAGGAGGTTTGAAGTATAAAATCTAATCCTAGGGAACCCTCCAGGTAAGTCGCAATTTTCAATATAAAGCAAATACATTCTGACATTTCAATAAAGTTCTCAATGACTTAGGCATCAGAGTGGACCCAGAGAATACGCCGCCCCTTATTGCGGGCATTGAAGAACCTGAATATTTTGCAGCAACGTTTCTGTAGAATTTTGGGCTTTACTACTGGAAACAATATCAAAACCATAAAAAATCACATTAACTTTGATGTGGTTTTTTCCCCGATTCTAGTAACCACATCCCCTTCTATGATGTAGTTAGGGTTTCAAAATCGCATAAAATCTAATTACATTAAAATTTGAATGAGCTGATTATATTTACATTCCAATTTCGAACTCTTCACAGTTGGTTGCCTATACAATTCATATCATAACTTCGTATGATGCAGAACATGAAACATGCACTTCCCAACGCAACCCACAAATTACTTTGTCTCCTCCTACGTACAACAGAAATAATAATTCCTCGCACTAATTGATTCGAATACTATTTTCTTATAATTTTTTTGAACTTTTATCCAAAAAAAAAAAAAAAAATTTACCCAGCCGAGGAGCTAACTTCACTGCTCTTACTAACAACTTCAAAATCTTCCCCATTATTGGTAATGGGTTTTCCTCCTTGAGCTCCCTCACCTGACCCACCTCGGCCTCCCATTCCATGCATCGTCTGCAAAATCAACAGCGGTCATTTTAACACATAAAAGTAATAAATTTATATGAATTGATATCTGCGTACGTATTTGTCCGTATAGAAAGAAACAGGTGAACCTTGTACTTGGAAATTGCGTGATCGAAGGCGTTGATGAGAGCAGAATCGTCCCAGAGGTCTCCTTTCCCCATTTTCTTGATTATGTGCTTCTATCCCTCAGTACTTCAGCAGCTCTATGGAGTCAAATATTAAAACCCTCCCCAAAATAGATTTTTTGTTAAGAGGACCGACGGGCGGCGGTCCTGCGCTAGCTCGCTTCAAGTCATGCCAGTTCGTCTATTAATCTTTGATAAAGATTTATAGAATGTTTGACGCCTAATTTTTATGGAAAAATAAATTTTAAAAAATGTATGAATAAAAAATAAGATTTTTTTTATTTATGTGTAATATTATTTTAATGAAAAATGTGTATTTAAAAAGTAGAGAAAAAATGTATTTTGATAAAAATGATAATCAAACGGGACTTTAAATTATAAATAAATGTAAATAAGCGAAAAAAATAAGTGAATAATCATAAATTTTATGAAATATGTCAATAAATAATTATTTGATCAATTATAATATTTCATAAACATTAGTCAAATAGGATTAATTTCAATAATATTCGTATTACTTTAGTTTTAGCCCTTTTCTTACCTCCACAATAATATGAGATAATTTTATGTGTGCGTGTAAGAATTTAAATTTTTGAGCATTATGGGTAACAAAAAAATGATATGAATGAGATATAAAGTCATGTATTCAATTAGTAATTTGACATGATTTGATGGAGCGAATTGACCAAGAGGTCAATTGGTCTTTATTTCATGGTCATTATTTGAGAAAAAATAATATTTGAATATTGATTTTTACGAGAATATGTGATTAAAAATTAAAAAAAAATTAAGTTTATGTGCAAAAATATTTTTATTATGTGAATATGCGTTGAAAATGAGTACGTGGGGAATATAATTTTTAATATAATGGCCATCAAATGGGGACTTAGAATGAAGTTGGCATAGGGCATGTCTGAGTCTCATTTTATGAAGAATACATTTTGAAATGATATATTGATAGAAAATGTGTAATTAAAAAATAAGAAAAAATTTTGTGTAATGTTATTTTATTGAACAATGTGTAATTAAAAAAAGAGAAAAAATATTTTTCTAAAAATAATGAAAATCAAACAAGGGCTCAATATGTCGTCGTCGTCGTCATTGTTATTATTTGCAATAAGGGTATTCGATCAATTGCACATCTCAAGCAACTAGTAGTTAATGAGTTGAGTAGGGCCTATTTCATAAGTGTTCGACCGTTAAATTCAACTCTAAGCACAATCCGAGGGTTAGATTGCCTAAAGCCTTATCATGTAAGGGTGATAAGTGTATTTTACACACTTATTTCAAGTCTTAAAACGATGATATTTAGTTGATTATGGGATGAATTATGGTCTAAATTGTTGTATTTGGTGTTGAATAGGTAAAATTTAATGATAGTACAAGAAACATGGAAGAAGAGCAAGATCCAAAGTTCGGGAACCAAAATGTAAATACTCAAAAGTTATGTCGGACCTCACGATGAAAATTCAAGAGTGCTCTGAGCCAATTGGATAAAGAAATATATCAAATGGATGAAATATAATCAAAGTATGATCACACATCAAATTCCAACAAAAAAATTTATGCACACTCATATTGATATGCATTTTTGATATGGCAAATGATCGAATTTGAAAATGGTATCTGAAAAAAAGTTGTAGCCCTTGGAGTTAGTTTTCCAACGCATTTTGAATCCCTTCAATCGGATATCGGAAGAAAAGTTACGGTAAAAAGACTGAATGTTTGTAGTGCAATCGAAGCTGGCGATAGCGCCTATGTTCTATCTCGCAATGCCTAGGTGCTATGTTTTTTTATTTTTCTTCCAAAAGTCAACAATCAGGCGCCCAATCGTAGCGCCTCGCTGCCTTCAAATAGGGTTTTCAAATGAAATTCATCTTTTAAAAAGCCCAATTCAACTAAAACTCTTCCAAAGTTTGAATAAGATATAAATACAACTTTAGAGAAGAGAATTGATTGGGGATTACACACATTGAGAGGCAAGAACAAAATTTGAGAATTAAAGAGCAAATTCTAGATGAGAAAAACAACAATTCAAGAGTTGGAAATCAAGATTTGGAATGAGAAGAATAACATAGTGCAAGATTTATCTAATCCTCCACATCTAAATTCAAAACCCGATGATGGACTCCACTATTTTTATTTATTTTTCTTTCTCTATTATGAATAGCAAAAAAAATCTTTTTAGAGCAAATAACGCAACCTAGGGATCCTTTACATAATTTTTTAAAATTCTTGTTCTTTATTCTTTCCTGTATTGATTTTACTATGAATTGCATTAACTTATTTATAACTAATTTGATGATTTCGTAAATCCTTTATGAATAGAGATATGAGTTTAAGATTTAGATCATATAGTAAAATCCAGTAAATTGGTATAACGAGTAGAGATACCTATACTAATTATAGCAGTCATAATTGAATTCTTAGGACAAAGAGCTCGTTTAACTAAGTTAAATTCGAATAGAGATATGGAACTGAATTAGTTAAGTATGCTCAATGAGAGCTCGAGAGGATTAAGTTGAATACAATAGAGAATTCGATTAAATACTACATGAGATGTGAATCTTAATTTAAAATATAAATATGACCAATATGTGAAATTATTCTGCCCTGACATCCGTGCATTGTTTGATTTCTAAACCAATTGTTTGTGCATCCACTTATTTAGATTATAACTCAAATCATACAAGTTTTTATTTGCTTACATCGAATAGTGGTTAGGAAAAAAGATTAGATTAAGTGCTAAAGTATAGTTTTCATAAGATCGACAATTCAGACACTTAGGTCCATTGTACTACTTGTTATAATCTGTACACTTACGAAAATAAAATTGACAAACAAAGGGCTAGGATTCAAGGTCCGAGAGCTAACTTACAGTTCACAAGTTATTGCCCACAAAGCTTGAAGCGTGCATGTGCTTTCAAAAAAATCGAATTTTGTTTTTGTTTTTTCAAAGAAACATATATATTCTCTTGGAAATATCTTTCAGTTATCTATGAGATCAGTTGATGGAGCTAGACCTTGGTTCCAGATATGGAAATATTTAGGCCAGTATGTTCAGAATGGACACATTCCCATTATCATTCCACCCCTGATATTTTTCACTCTTATGGATTGAGAGGAATAATGTGAAGCACAAAGGGATACCTAAAGCTTAAATGGATCATTTGGAGTCTCCTGCATAATTTTACTTCTTTGTATGGGTTGTTTATTTTGACATGTTCATTATGTTGACCTATGGTTGACTTCTCCTTTTGATTATCACAAACAAATTACATTTATTTCTAACAAGTTTACTTGAGTGTTGATAGACAACATGCAAACCATACTTTGAAGAGGCAAAGCGATGATCAAAAGAAAAATCAACATGGTGGAAAAGTCTAAGTATGGCATCACGTCAAGACAAAAAGCCATATTGAAGGTGATAAACTTAGAATTTTAATCTCATATTTAAAGGTAATATGCTTCAATAATTTTGCAATATATAGTAAAAAAGGCTCGAGTGTCAACTTTATACACAAAAATTTATTATTTTATAAAAACACTTGCAAAATATTTTTTCAAGATAACGAATTCAATCTTATTCCATGAAATGAGAATTATCTTGAAAAATCATATATAAATATTTTTCAAAGCATTACCTTTATCAAAAGATCGGAGAAAATTGGTTTCTGTCATAGCAATGTCCGATAGGTCCCGCGGACATCCGGTATAAAAAGGCAAATTTTTTTAACCATTCTGACTTCGAAAAAACAACGGCTAGTGGACCGTCCAGCACAATAGCGGATGTCCAGTACACCTGTCCGGTAGGACGATTTTATTTATTTATTTATTTATTTTTATTTCTTGCAGTTTCATTGCTATAAATACCTCTTTATTTTCTCATTTGCACCAACCCTTCTTTGAGCATTAAGTGACGCTTTTATTGATTTCAATTACTCTTTTAATTCTTTAGAAGATTAAATTATTTACATCTTGAAAAACTCTTGAGTGAACAAAATTATTATAAATCTTTCATCTCAAGTTTTTCAAAGTAAGACTTGAGCTATACTCATTGCAATCTATTAAAGTGTTAAACCTACTTCTCTCTCAATACTCAGTTGTGATCGTTCCATTCATTAAGAGAGAAGTTTTTTACTTGTAATATTTCTTTCTCTTATTTTCGATTGTGGGTCGTGTTGAGGACCCGGAAAACTCAACGTTGTAAAAAGATCGATACTTCTTGGTTGTAAGTCACAAAAAGTTTTGTAGAATGTTGGATTGTACCATAAATCAATCACATTTAGTGAAAAATGTCTTACTCGTGACGGAGAGCTTGGTAATAGGGGACATAGATCGTAATTGGATCGAACCTCCATAACACATCATTTGCATCTTTTATCCATTTTTCTTATTATTTTTAAAAGTTATCTTCTTGCTCTTTATCTTATTTGCATATTATTTATATTAGCACTTATTTTTGAAAAAAAAAATTTAAATAACCAATTCATCCTCCTCTTGGTTAGTCGTTCTTGGGCTTTTAATTAGTATCAAAGCGAGGTACTCACTTTTAAAAGACTTTACAATCTTGAGTAAATGGCTAACCAAGTTTTTCAAAATCTTGAGGGACATTCCACAAACCGACCCCCCTTCTTTGACGACATACACTATAATTATTAAAAAGCTAAAATGATGATATATGTGCAATCCATTGATTATAATATTTGGAAAATTATTGAATTTGGTCCATATATCCCTACCAAAACTATTAAAATAGATGGTAGACCGGACCAAACTATTTATAAAACAAGGGAAGAATATGATGAAGACGACAAGAGAAAATTGTCCTTATGCCAAGGCTAAGAATTTGCTTTATTGTGCATTTGATAAAAATGAATTTAATAGGATAAGCACATATGAATCGGCATACGATATATGGCATGCTCTTGAAGTCACTCATGTTGGCACAAGCAAAGTTAAAGAAACAAAAATAAATTTGTTTGTTAAAGAATTTGAAAATTTCTTTATGAAACAAGATGAGTTGTTGATTCATTACACGTTTTACCGATATTGTAAATGGTTATAAATGTTATGATCGTAAATTTACTAACGGTGAACTTGTAAATAAAATGCTTAGGTCCTTGTTGGAGGAATGGAGCTCGATAAGAATGTTGATCGAAAACTCCAAGAAT